AGGAGCCGCCGATGCGGGGCTTGGGGAGGGCGTGTGGGGCCAGGGCCATGCCGGGGGCCCCGCGCGGGGCTTCCCGAGCCGGGCGAGAACTATGGCCTGTCAGGGCTGCCGGGAGGGCCTCTTCTGGTTTCTGAGGAGACAGCTTTTTCTAGAACTTTCTCTGGATGGGGTCATGAGGCGTTTAGTCGAGACCTGCATTTGCTCGTGGCCCTGACTCCCGCCCTGTAGGAGTCGCTCTTGCGGGTTTTCTGAGGTACTTTGAGTCCTCCAGCCCCATCGGAGGCGGACGCGGTAGTCGGGAGGCCATTTAGACTCCGCTCTAGCCTCACAGGGAACTGCTGGTTTTCTCTCGGCCCCGTTGGATGGGCTGGGAGGGAGCGGCCTCCTGGTTGGTTTTCCTGGGGCGGGGGTTGGGGGGCGCCCCGGCTTTCGGAGAAAGTGCGTTACTGAAATACTGCCGCCTCAGGGCTGACAGGGAGCTGGGAGTCTACCGCAGAGCGGCCCTGATGGATGTTGAGAATTTCCTCCCATGTGTATAGTCTTTATTAAAAACGCATTCCCACTTAAACAGGCATGAGGGGTGTCTCGGACTCCGCGGGGAAGGGAATTATCCAGAAAAGTGGCTCTGGACGCGCTATTGCACTTACCGGAGGGCAGCGGGGGAACGCCGCCCCGTGAGGGGAAGTTGGTCGCGCCTTTGAACGCTGTTGGTCAAGTCTCCGTGCTCAGTCGAGCCCCGAGTCCTCTTTCAGCCAGTTCTTTAAAGACGAGTAGGGTGCTGGGGTACGCAAAGCGTGGCCGTCCAGCTCTCGTGACTCCTTTTCCTTCTGTGCCCTGTCAGGAAACAAGCTCACTTCTCCCTGTTGGAAATCCAGCAACAGGATGAGTCTGCAGTGGACTGCAGTTGCCACCTTCCTCTATGCAGAGGTCTTTCTCGTGCTGCTTCTCTGCATTCCCTTCATTTCACCCAAAAGGTATGGCCTGCGGAGGAGCAGGCAAGCAAGTAAGAGGGTGACTATTGCGGAGCCCTGTCGTATATGTGTGTAAAGTTGGTGGACCCTGGAATTGGAGCCAGACAGGAACAGGTAGAACCTGTCTGGGGTTGTGTTTTACTGTTGCCAACCTTCCACACCGTTCTGCTTTGTCACATCTTGCTGAGTTCCTGTCCTGTGTTCCCTGCCTTCAGGTCTTCAGAATGCCCCAAAAGGGAGAAGACCTGGCTCTAGTTACGGTTCTGGGAATGATGCCCTCCTGCCTCCCCTTGGGTCCCTGAGGTTCAGGGGATGGCAGTGTGGGATCCGGGAGACTTGTACCACGGGGTCATGTTCTTGCTGATTTGGCGACTTCTGTCCTCTTAACTCACTGGCATTGCGTAGTAACCTCATGAGCATTACTCAGCCTATGAAGGATGAAGCCATATCCCTTTTCAGTGAACAGAGGACCTGTTAAAAGTTAATTGGAAATTAGTTTTTAATTACATATGATACATAAACACATTATTCTGACTTAAATTAGATCATTACAAATAAGGTTGAGTCTCTATAGATATTTTAAAAAAACTTTTAATGAAATATACGGGCACTTGATGTGATACAATAGGAAGTATACAGCACTGCCTAAGGAATGCTTTTGCCAGAAGTCAGATCTGAATCTTCACACCTCATACAGTTTGGAGGGAATGGCAGAGACAGAAGCCCCTTTGGAGCTGCAATCTGTGAAACTTTGTAGGACAAACAACCTGGTTTCTGCAAAAAGTAAATTGGGAAAGAAAACAAAAGAGGGTGAGGGAAGGGGGAACTTATAAAATAAGAGGTTTCAGATATTTCTCAACTAATGCAGAAGCAGAACCTCGTCGGTCTGGATTCAAACAAACCAGCTATTTAAAAGTGCAACAGCTAGACTTTGGGACCCTGGCTCTGATAATGGGGGATTCTTACTGCATTGCGATTTCATTAACCATCTTTGAAGGTTATAGGGCCACTTATAGGACTACATTCTGAAGTATTTGTGGAAGAAATGAAGGGAGGTTGGACCTGCTTTAGATGGTGGGATTCTAGATGAACCAAGACCGGTCACGTGGAAAAACAACTTAAAGAAATAATGTGAATGTGGCAAGCATTTTGAACACTATGCAGGGGAATGTAGCGGAAAGTAAATTTTTCATTTCCTTCCCCAGAGACTACCAGTATTTAAGACTGGTTTTCTAGAAATTTCTATACAGGGACGAGCATCTTTTTGAAACACTCTTGAATGGATGCCATAAATTTGAAAATTGCAGCTGAGGCTGTGTGGGATATTCGACCAATGGAGAAACCTAAGACTGGGTTTCTATTCTCAAGGCCCAGATCCCAAGTATATGTTCTTTGTTTTCAGCCCATCCTTTTTGTTTTTTTTTTTCACAGATGGCAGAAGATTTTCAAGTCCCGCCTGGTGGAGTTCGTAGTGACCCATGGCAACACCTTCTTTGTGGTTCTCATTGTCATCCTTGTGCTGCTGGTCATTGGTGAGTGAGCTGTTGCCGATGGCAGCTACATGACCGAGACCCTTTGCTATGGCATCTGCTGCAAAGCTCTGTGCCATGTTCCACATGCAGCGTACAGCTTTGGCTTCTCAGAGATAGACTACTAGTGGCCCTGTCTTTCTCTTGGGAGAAGACGCTCCCTTCATCCATGAAGAGGGTATTGCTGGTAGGGCCTTCACTTTGACTAGCAGTCTTTGTGGACTCTGTGATAATCACCTCACGTTTCAGGTGGCTCCTTGGGTTGTTCTAGAACTGAAATCAAGAGGGGCTATAACTGGGCCATGCTGACCTTGGTCTAAGTAGTACTGCTCTCCAGCCACTTAGCAGCATTAGTTTCTCCCTTGCTGCCTGGAATAGATCACGAATAGGGGACTGAATGACCAAGTAGATAGGGAGCCTAGCTGGGAAGGAAGCTGCTGTGTCCTGTAGTATAGTGGGGGCCAAGAGATTTGGCAGCATGTCTATGGAGCAAATCCCAGACCTCTCTGGATCTGAGTCAAACTTCAGGTCTTTCTGGGTCCTTCCAGCTCCGAAGTTCTATAAACCCCACATTGAGGTGCATACCAGCTGGGGCTTGAAAGATAAGCTGATTCTAGAGTACACTCAGGGATGGGGCCTGTGGCTAGGTGGTACTAAGATGGGAGGTGAACATTTTTCGACATGGTGGTGTGATCGTTCAGAGACCAGAGGAATTAGTGCAGCTGTCATCTGGCTGTTAAATGTGTGTTTTGCTGTGGTTAGTGATTAGTACATCCTCCTACTTGGACTCCAAAGTGTTGGCTTGGCCCTGCTACAGGCAGTGGACCTGTCTACAAAGAGTGATGCTTGCTTAAGCTCAGAGCACTCCTCTCCCCAGCCCCCAACAGAAATTTGGTGGAGGGTGGGAGAATAGGGGGCCGGAGTTTAGGGGAACTTGCTTGGCCCCACCCACTAGCTTCAGCGTCAGGTATTTCCCCTTCCTAATATCTTGAGACCTGATGGGATATGTTCAGGCAGGACTACCTTTGAACAGGCCACATGTGGCCCGCCCATTCCCAGCCATGTAGGGTGAGTGCCAGCTGCTTGGATACCTTGCTGTTGAAATACTTGGCAAGGCCCCAAGAGGTAGATCTTTGGTAGCTCTTTGTATTCAGAGTCCTCTCCCTGAGCAGCCTCTGAGCACACAGGGACCAGGGAATATGCACATCATCCTCTGAGCATAAAAGCCAGGCTTTTCATTTGCTTTTGCTCTTGGATGTGGGGTGGGGATGAGAATTGGGGCAGGGAGGGACTGTGCTGGAGGTATTCTCTTTAGGCCTTGCCCCTCTGCAAACCACACTCCACGAACTCTCCATTTCCTAGTGCAGCTGAGTGGACCAGGGAGGTCTTTTGCAGCAGGGTCCCCAACCCCCAGGCTGCGCACCAGTACTGGTCTGTGGACTGTTAGAAACTGGGCCACATAGCAGGAGGTGAGCGGTGGGTGAGTGAGCGAAGCTTCATCTGTATCTACAGCAGCTCCCCAGTGCTAACATCACCCCTCAGCTCCACCTCAGATCATTAGGCATTAGATTCTCATAGGGGCGCCGGCCCCCGGTACCAGAAAGGTTGGGGACCACTGCTTTGCAGAACCCAAGTTAGCAAAGGCGCCATTCTTCTTTTTGGCATTGGGGAATTGCTTGAAAGTTCTAGAGGGATATCTGACTGATGACAGGCTGCTTTCATAAGCATAATCTAGAGAGGTCTGCAGTGGTTTCTACAAATACGTGTTAGTCTATGGCCGTGCTACCCTGAACAAGCCTGATCCCATCTGATCTCGGAAGCTAAGCGGGATCGGGCCTGGTTAGTACTTGGATGAGAGACCACCTAGGAAGACCAGGTGCTGTAGGCGTAAAAAATAAAAAAAGAGATTGTAAACTAACAAGGTCCTTGCAATCTGTGAGGTCAACCAAGGGTTGCCTCGCCTAAAAACAAAACAAACAAAAAAATATAAGTGTTAGCTGGTAGCAAATACTAGTGAAATATGATGGGCATACCAGTTAGAACTGTAGCCCTTGCTGGCCCCTATTCTTCACTGGGAGTGGCCTAGGGCAGATCTGACTGGGGAGTGATGAGGGTCCAGAGTCAACTGCCCTGGCCAGAGGCCTGAGTCTGGGAAGGCAGCACTCTGCTTTGTGACTCGGGCTAGTATGGCCAAACACCCCCATCCCTAATCTGCTCTTTGCCATTGGCCAGGGTGGTCCTTAAGGTGATGGGGTTCCTGGATGCAGATGACAGTGTAGAAAAACATGTTTTTTTCCATCATAAAAATATTTTTAAAAATTTAACCTAGAAAGTTAAAGTCCCCCATAATCCCATGTCTCACAGTTAGCCATCATTAATGCTTCATCGTACATTTCCAGAGGCATGTTCTATGCTGACATCTTTGTTAATAAATTACACACTGTTTTGGATTGAGCACTTTTCCACTTACTGTATCTTAGGTTTTTTTTGTTTTTTTTTTAACAACAGTCTCATTCTTTTTAAAGGTTGTGTAGTATAGTCATCCCTTGTTATCTGTGGGGGATTGGTTCTAGGACCCCTATGAATACCAAAATCTATGGATGCTTGTCTCATAAAGAGTAGTGTAGTATTTGCATGTAATGTAAACTACACATATTCTACTATATACTTTAAGTCATCTCTAGAATACTTATAATACCTAATATATGTAATGTTATATAAGTAGTTGTTATACTGTATTGTTTAGGGAATAACGATAAGAAAAAAAGTCAATACATGTTCAGTATAGACATAGCCAACATAGGCCTAACTACATAATAGATGTCAGCAATAACGTAACATTTTTTCCCAAGCATTTTCGATCTGCTTCTGGTTGGATCCATGGATGTGTAACCCACAGATGCAGAAGGCCGACTGTACAGGCACACCTCAGAGAGATTGTGGGTTTGGTTCCAGACCACTGCGATAAAGTGGATATCGCAGTAAAGCAAGTCACACAACTTTTTTGATTTTCCAGTGCATATAAAACTTGTATTTATACTGTACTGTAGTTTGTTGCGTGCAGTAGCATTATATCTTTAAAAATATTGTACACTTTAAAAATACTTTATTGCTAAAAAATGCTAACCATCACCTGAGTCTTCAGTGAATTATAATGTTTTTGCTGGTGGAGGATCTTGCCTTGGTGTTGATGAAAACTCAGGATCCATGAAGTGCAGTAACAGGTATGCCTGTATTCTATCAAATGGTTATAAGGTAATTCCTTCTTCATAGGCATCCTAATATTGTACATTTATGCAAATGCTTCTATAGGATAAATTCATAGAGGTGGAGCTGATGAATATAAGGGCATGAACATTTTAAATTCTTTGTCTTAGTTTGGGCTGCTGTGACAAAAATACCGTAGAATGGTTGGTTTAAACAACAGACATTTATTTCTCATGGTTCTGGAGGCTGGACGTCCAGGATCAAGCTGCCAGCAGAATCGGTATCTGACAAGGGCCGTCTTTCTAGTTCATAGATGATTGGCTTGCTGTGTCCACACATGGCAGAAGGGGGTGAGGGAGCTCTCTGGGGTCCCTTTTATAAGGGCACTGATCTGATTCATAAGAATATTGCGCTCACGACCTAATCACCTGCTACCTTTTATAAGGGCACTAATGCCATCCTAAGGGCCTTGCACTCATGACCTAGTCACGTCCCAAAGGCCCCACCTCCTAATACCATCCCATTGCGGGTTAGAATTTGTCATAGGACTGGGAAGCGGGCAGGAACATGTCCATAGCAATTCATAGGTGAGTTTCCCAGTTTATACTCCTGCTAATAGTGTTGGAAAGCCCTTGCTTCATGATACAGATTTAACAAAGGCACCAGTATGGGGAGGCAGGTTTTTCCCTCCCAACCCTGGAGAGGCAGATTTTTTATCTATCTATCTATGTATTTATTTATCTTTATCTATTATTTATGTGCCTACATCACATGATCTCCCTAGGTGAGTCTCCCATCCAAGTACTAACCAGGCCCGACCCTCCTTAGCTTCCTAGATTAGATGGGATCGGGCACGTTCAGGGTGGCATGGCTGTAGACTTTTTTTTTTTTTTGGAGGCAGATTTTTATAATGTAAGATCAACTTAAAAACCAAGCAGTGTCAAATCAGGAATTAAGAACCAAACAATATCTATACAATGATACCTTACCCCTCCTTCACGGGGGTCTGTTAAGGACTCTCTTTAGGTAGGTCTTTATGTACCAACCTAAAGAGATGTCTTGGGGTGGGGAGAAAGCTGTAGGTATGAGATGGTTCCGTATCTACTTTACAAACTTAGAGATGTAAAAATATTTGCATACTAGAATAACGTATGTTTAACAGTGGCTCTCAGGAGCAAAGGCTGCTTACCTTTCATCAGTTATTTGCATGTCTCCTGTGCGCCAGAACTGTGCTAAGCCCTAGGGACATACTAGAAAAGATTTATGCTCTCGTGGAGTTTGTAGTCTGATTTGGGGGAGACACACAGTAAACCTATAATTAGGGTAATTTCAGATATGGGTGTGTATTACCAAGAAAACAACATAGTGTAATGTGACAGAGCGACTGCTTGAGATAAGATGGCCACATATTCTATACCCTGCTGGAGGCGATTATGTTATGGGATGCTTTTTCTATATTTCTGGAATGTTTGAACTTTTGATGAACACGAATTCCTTTTATAATCCTAATAAAACCTGTTACAAAGCTTAGAAGGGAAAACTCTTTAGCAGGCATCCTCTGGTTCTTGTCCCCTAGGCAGCTCATGTCTCCTTAGTGGGCATTTCCATAAACAGGAGGACCCTTGCTTATCAGTGCGGTGACTGACAGCATCCGACTTAAGATAAACAGAACCAGACGTGCTGAGGTGGAGTGGGGACCCATGGAAAGGGGAGCTGCTCCTGGCCAGCAATACCTAAGACTTAGTTAGCATCTTGACACAGCAAGCTTGTGGCTGGAGTAGAATGGGGCCTGGGAGGGACGTGAGAAAAGTTGGAAGAGAGAGAGGGTCTGAGGGCAGAGTTCTCACAGGCATGCCCAGGGCGTGTGTCGAAGGGGTGATGATGGGAGATGGTTTGAGGGAAGCAGGACCGTTCGACTGATGCCGCCTGTCCAAGCTGGACAGCCCGGACTTGTCCGCTTGGGCACTAAACCCTGTGTCTCCTCTCTGCTCCACTATAGATGCTCTGCGTGAGATTCGGAAGTATGATGACGTGACAGAGAAGGTGAATCTCCAGAACAACCCTGGGGCCCTGGAACACTTCCACATGAAGCTTTTCCGTGCCCAGAGGAATCTCTACATTGCCGGCTTTTCTCTGCTGCTGTCCTTGTGAGTGGGGAGGGGCGAGGGGACCCCTAGGCTAGTCTGTGACTTTGACTCTTCAGTCCGTGTCCTTGAACCAGAGGTCTGTGTGTGTTAGGGAGCCACCCAATTTCCCCAGAGGCCTCTGATTTTCCTCTTGGTTTCCAGAGGCAATGTGGAGAGTGGGAGAGGACTGACCAGAAGTCTTCTGGCTCTGCCGTAACTTGCCACATGCTCTTTAAAGGCAAATGCATTAGCAGCTCGCTCTCTGTAGATAGCGTGAAGTAAATGATGAGGCATTTCCCTCCTCTGGGAGAGGCCCTTTGGAGCCCAGCTTCAAAGGGACCGATTAAATAGGGGCTTTTTGTGTATGGGGTCCTGCTTGAGAAAGAGTAGGCAGAAATGGCATGAAGGGGCTGAAGCCAACCTTGTCCCCAGGGTCTTCTCCAATGTTAGACCTGTCACAGGAGCATATTGTGCTCCATGGTAGTCTGAGTATTTGTTTTGTTGTTGTTGTTTTTTGTTTTTGCAAGACTGAATGCCTTGATCAGGGCCAAGGGGGTGGCTCGTTGGGCAAGATTAGACTGATTGAAAGTGCCTGTTTGAGTCTGGGGCTGCTTTACTGCCCCCCTGCTCAAAGGGGTTCTGACCAGCAGCCCAGCCATTCTCAAGCATGCTGGCTGGCAGGGAGACATCGAGCTCAGGCCAAGGGCTTCCAGGGGTATTGGGAAGAGGCTCACCCTGAGGTTACTCAGAAGCAGGGTGAACATGTGGATTCACAGGCTGGGCTCTCCCACTGCTCGTCACCTGGACGTCCTTCTTCACTAGACATTAGAATGACTACCTGTCTGGGTTTCGGTTTTTCAGGAAAAGTCAGTTGCTCAGGTGAGCATGCCCTCTCTGGGTCAAAGTTGGAAAGTATTGCAGGTGGCGCTGGAAAGAGCAGACAGCTCTTCAAGGCGAGCCGTCCGATCAGAGTCAGGAAGTGAGAAAGCTGGGAGGAGTTGGACACAGACCCTAGAATTTTAGGGTTTCAGGAAGCTGCGAAAAAGAAGATGATCTTGTGGGCTGAGACTGAAAGGGAAGCAGGTCTGGAGGACCAGGTCTCAAAAACGGGATTCGAGTCCACCTGCACGAGAGCTGAAGGATGGGAGGACATGATGATACTGCGGGTCTGAGGGACCACAGGTGCTTAGGGCTCCCCAGCCAGCTCAGATCTCATCTGAAAGATAGGGCAGGAGGAAAAGTAAGGACTGCCCCAGAAGAGTACACAGAGCGTAGGAATAGTATTGGGGAGGTGAAAGCCTGCAGTGAGCTCTGGATCATGAAACATGGTAGGACCCGGGAAGAATATAGTCCCCTTGGTGTTTCTGTGTCAAGGAATGGCAAGCACTGGGATGAGAGGATTGAAATCCCCAGAGGGCAAGGGTACACAGGAGTGCCCAGCTTCTCTAAATGACTTAGCTTCCACTTGGACTTGATGACATTATGTCCAGGGCCTCTTGGCGATTGTTTGCAGATGGGCTTGCCAGTCCTTGAGGAATTGCAGGGTGGGAGAGGTTCTAGAAGACTGCAGACAGGCAAGCATCTCAGTTTCCAAAGGAAAGAGAAAGTAGATGAAGCAGTAACTAGAATGAGATGGTCTGACTCTGATTTCAAGCCATGTTCTAGAAGGAAAAGCTTGTGTCCTTTCAGAGTAAAGAGAGGCATTGCTGGCAACTACCGTGAGTTCCTAGAGAGCCAGTTCTCTCAGTCTGCCCCTGCCGTCTGTCAGGCTAGTGTATGTAGATTTTCAGCAGAATGATTACCAGGCTCTGATTTGATTCTTATGGACCATGTGCTGAAGTGTGGGCCAGGTGCTGGCATAACAGTGTCATTGGGCAGGGTCCTAACTCCCATGAGTGGCTGCCTCATGGATTAGCTCCATCCAAATACAGGCCTCAGGAGCTTAACTTTCCACCCCCAACCCACTCAGTGTTCTCTGTTGTTGGTTGTTTTAATGCGAGCAGATGCAGGGAGAGATGGAAGCTAGGAGGAAGTGAACGGCAGATTAGTTATCACTCAGAATCCATGGCTTTCTTGGTTCACTGGTGGGGCCGGCTTGAATGAGATTAGAGTTTTTAACAGGGGAACATTTGTAAACCTGCTTGTAGGTTCATAAAGGGCTACAGAGGTAGGGTCAAACAGGAACTCAGATGACTTGGGGTTGTGGCTCATTGTAGCTCAGTAGGAGTTAGTGGCTGAACTACTGCAAAAGCTGATGAGCCCTTAGTGCCCTTCAGTGAAGGCTGGGGCTGCCAGGAGGGAGTCAGCCAGTGCTACCTGGAGAGTTGCATGTGGGGCCCCACGTTGAGAGACGTTGGCAAAGTGCAGATGGTGAATTCCAGAGCAGTCACAGTGCTGGCAGATAGACTGGGCGGTGCTTATTCGCCACATACTGTGGCTTCCTTGTGATCTCTTCAGGGCATGTATTATCTGTACTAGGGGACAGTGGGTAGCCAGGTATACCAGACAAGTGTGTGCTTGGCTCAACATTTTGACCAATAAGTTTTGACAAAAGCAGAGTAAAGTACCACCCCACAGTCAGGGTACAGAACAGTTCGCAGTTTCCTTTCCAACCTAAAGGGGTGGCTTCAAAGAAAAGCAGTCCTCATTTACACCCCACGTTATTCTCTAAGGGGTGCCCAGAGGTTGGGAGAACAGAGCAGACTTTGGGCCCACCATTTCCGTCTGCTCTTGCGATCCTGCTCTGTTCTCTGTCATGTTGGCTGCCTCTCCCACTTTGCCGGGGCCTTTCTATTAGACAAGCACGTAGGCTTTGTTATGTATTCCCTTTTAAACATGTCACACGTGGTAACTTCTTGGATCTGGTTGTTCCAGCAGCCATACGTCTCAGGGAAAAGATGCCTTGTTATGTCTGCCACACCCTCCTATGTCCCTGTCCAGTAGCTGATCAAAACAGGACCTATAAACTCTCCCCTTATCTAGGGGTCAGATTCTTTGTGGTGGCTGTGGCCCTTGAGAAACTTCTCTTTGCACAGCATTAGCCATAGAAATGTTTCTGTCCAAACTTGATATCCATACAACCCATATGCAGGAAACACTTTAAAAAGCAAAGCTCTCATCTTTGTTATCCTGATTACAAAAGTTATACCTGCTCATAGTAACATAAAGCCCTCCAAATTCAAATAATATAGAAATGTTGGGCGAAAGAGTGAGTGCCCTGTAGTCCCATCCTCAGAGACAGGTACAGGTAATATTGGGGATGTTTCTGAACTTTTGAAAAATATCTTGCATCACGTATAAGTTTTCTTTTACAAGTGCTGTGGGTTTTTTTTTTTCTCTGCTTCGACTTGCCTTTTTTACCCAGTGATATAGCTTGGCAGTGTTTCCAAATGACTCATGCAGACCTCTCTTGTTCTTAATGGTTGTGTAGTGTTGTGTTACGTGAGGGGACCATTGTGTGTTTAACCAATTCCCTGCTCACAGACCTGAGCCGATTTGAAATTTTTACTATTAAAAAAAACACTCTCCCACATTGGTTTGCTTCTTGTCTGTTGTCCCACACATTGCATTTCTTTTTTCTTTTTTTTCTCTTTAATCATTGGAAATGGATTGATAGTGTCCTAGTCCCCTGGCACTTGGCTGCCCTAAGTGTGGCCTGTGGCCCTGCAGCCTTTATGACCTGTGGGCTTGTCGGAAATGCAGACCCTTAGGCCCACCCCCGGCCAACGGACCCCGTTAGTGCCCATTAGTGCTTGACTGGCACTGCTCTGGCACGTCTCCCCAAGCAGACTACCCCAGAGGGCACAGGTGGACAGCAGTTCTGGCCTGTTGCAGGGTTTCGCTACCTGGTGGGATTCATCTGGGCCTGAATGTGGTCACATGCATTTAAAAACCTTGGAGTAGTCGCTCCCCTCATGTACCTGGTTGGTTCTCTCAGAAGCCAGGCTGTGCGCACCCAGCAGTTTTTGAAGCCCTTTCTCTGAAGAATGCCTTTTCTCATCTGTCAGCACACACTGTCCGCCCTGCGTGGCAGGTAATCTCTTTATTTGCGTATGTGGCCCTCTGAACCCTTGCACTTGTTCTTTTACAGATGAACCACTCACTTGTTAGCTGCCTGTAAGCCTGCGAAAGGATGGAAAGAGATGACTCTTTCTCTTGGGCAGGTCGAGTTTGGCTGTGTTAGGAGAATTGTTTTGTGGGGCCCCATTCATGGTCTTAGCTCAGCAAACATTTGAGCATGACTCTACCTGAGACAGTGCCGGGTTGTTGCCAGAGAAAGAAGATAGAGTAGTTGAGGGAAGACTGGCATGTGACCAGCTCTTACCACACTGTATCTGGTGTCATGGGGTACCGATCAGTAGCACACACCTCCACACCTTCTGGGTGTCCGTACTTAGGAGGGCTGGCAGCATAGGAAGAAGGATGCGGAATCAACATTCAGGAGACTGGAGTGCCCAGGCCAATGCTGCCACTTGAGCAGCTGTGTGTCTTTAGATAAGCATCTCCCTTCTGTCACCTAAGTATTCTCTGTTAAAAGAAGGGCTTATCTCAAAGATTGGATGGCTCTGTGGCCTCGCCTGTATGTGTATGAGCTGTTGGTGTGGTTCCTTTGGTTTCTGGCTCTGCTCGAAGCCAGTAAGGGCTTTAATAACCCTTCATAATCCTGCAGGGCTTTGTAAATGGAAAAGGACAGCCCAAAAGAGATGGGGCGGCCAGAGCTGCCCAGGTTGTAAGTGGCCAAGCACATGCCTAATTCTGAGCCCCTGCTCCAGCCCCAGGTGTTCGCGTTGGTGTGAGCTGTTAGCACTAGGTGGTTGGTTTTCAGACTGTAGGCAGGGCAGTGGGCTACTTTTCTCCCTGAGTAGTTATTGCCTGGCTTTATTAGGGAGGCGCTTGCATATTCTGTCAGCTAGAACCTCCCTGCCTGTATACCCTCCATGTTAGTCTTAGTTTTATGAGTCTGGTGACTCTAATCTCTTAGTCCCTTTTGTACATCTGAAGATGAAGTCATCTGGTAGCAC